AATTAGTCATATTTTTGAAACCCTAAAATAAATACACCAAAGGGTACATATCATGTGCTTTTTATTAAGTTAACGTATGAAGATGAACATGGTATTAGTTAATTGATGTGCACACTTCCACCTTGTAAAGTTAACTTCTTTTTTATACATAAACGAATGTTTGTTTGTATGCTTGATTTAGAACATTAAACAAGGTTCAAAATAATAACATGCTCTTTTTTTCTGACACGTTCTTTATTTTTGCATGTCGCTTTTTAAAGTGGTATGAAATTGAATGCACTCTGCCTCGATTCAAAAATATCGCATGTAATGAAATCCCCATGGTGTCGCATTAATCATGTCAGTTTCTAAGTAAAAATTACTCACCTCCTTTATCTTATTGTATTACACTTTGAAAATTCCTACTGCACGGATTATAAGAACAGGATTAATATTGTCTTCAAGCTATTTATCCACTAGCTGTAACTTGTTTAACGTAATTAATGTAATTATTCTTTTGCAGCTCATTAGTGGGTAGTTTCAAGTATTATTTTTAACACTAGCTGTGTTTCAATAAACTCTACTTAGTAAATTATCGTCTTTGTTGACAAAAACAAAACCTACGCAGCATAAAAGGATAAGTAACGACATTTTCATGCCGTTAAATATCTTTAGGAGAAACATTGCAGAGATAATTATAAGATTTTCGGAAAGAGTTTTTTTCTAGCCTGAAGATGTGAAAGTACTATCGATGATTATTGAATTGTAATCTTTTTTTTTTTCTTGACAACTACTGGAAGCTTTTCTGAGAGCTGCATTTTAAACGCTGCTAATCAATGTGATATCTAAATAACGTTGTAGATACAGGTTTCCCAGGGACAATGTTTTAATGTGATATCTGAATAACGTTGAAGATACAGGTTTCCCAGAGACAACATTTTAATGTGATATTTGAATAACGTTGTATACACAGGTTTCCCAGGGACAACATTTTAATGTGATATCTAAATAACGTTGTAGACACAGGTTACCCAGGGACAACATTTTAATGTGATATCTGAATAACTTTATAGACACGAGTTTCCCAGGGACAATA